AATCATTTGACATGCTCGGGAACTCGGGAAACGTGGACAGTCGCTGTGGAGGGTGGCAGAAAACAGGCGAGCTGCACAACTTGCGTGGGATGAGGGGAGCAAGAGGTGGAGATGCCACGGGAATGGGAAACACCTCGTGGAGCGGTGCCGTGTGAGGGGTGTCTAATGTGCCTGGGAACACTGGGCACACGATTCCATTCTAGTGGCATGTTAGTGCGTGAACTGGTGCCGACAGAGCTGGGCCATCAAGAAGTTCCCGGCCGATCAGCCACGGGCTCCCCATTTCCTCCATTGCTTGGTCAATGTCCAACAATGTGTGGGAAGAGACTGACCGTTGAGAGAGGCCGGATGGATTTCCGGCTGGTGGCGGCCCAATGAGTGGCGCCATATTGCCCGGACGTTACCTCCGGGGCCCCCCCTTGGCACGACGAAAGCAGGACGTCGAGATGGCGTTGGAGGGACATCAGTCGTCATTGTACAGTGTTAGCTTCCTCTTCCGATTCCAGTCTCTGGAACTGTTCCAGGTGCTTTTGGACCATCCTGGTAGTGGCCTGGAAGTGGCTTGGTCCTGCACGGATACGCGGTCTTTTCGAGGGCGGCACGGCATGTCTAGTATCTCGATGAGAGAAGCCCATCCACAAGCCCCCTCGGCATTGTGGCTGCTCATGCTCCTCGACCTTGTTGGGATCCAATTGTGCTACGCGATTGGTCCTATCCCTTGTACGGTATCACTCCTCAAGCCCAGATTCGATCTAGTCGGCAGACGCCTGCCTGTCTTGTCCACCGTGTTGAGCTACTGTCTGTCTGTTCTTGTGTGTCGTGTTCGGTTCAGGCAAACGACCGGACTTGGTGTCCGTCCTACTCCCCATGGAGGGCTTGTATAAAGCACCCAGGACCTCCTCTTTTTGCCCCCTCGCAGAGCTATACTGCGTATGCCAATCTACAGCCATTTCGACAATACCATTTGATTCCCAAATACGATTCCTCGAATACTCCATTCCATATCCTTGGCAACAAAGCACGGCCACACCCAGAGCGACGCTATTCCGAGCCCCAAACCTAGCCAACCACATCCTGACAGGCTAAGATACCCTGGTAAACCTTCTCTGCTCCGGCGCAACATTATAAGCCACAGAGCTCAGCAACCATGGATTCAGGCTCAGCAGGTGGTGTGAGCATACTTCAACGTGGGTTGTCGAATAGCGCATTTCACAACCTGCTCTCTGACTCTTCCGCCAACCCGACAGACGAATATACCACGCAACATCAAATACAACAGCGTCAACCGGACCACCAACAAGCGGATTGTTACTTCCAGCGACAATTGAATATCAAGAGAGAGAATGAAGCTGCCAACACTGCGCCACAGTTCTTCGTCGCGCCCTCGGCCCTGACTTCAGCACCCGACGCGGCGTCAATCATTTCTGACAGCACATCGTCCCCCTCAACACGGAGCTCTCATGATGTGTGGCAGGACTCGCCCGCGACCAACTCTTTGTTGTCGCCAGTGAGCTCCGTACTATCGCCGCCGAATTCGAACATCAAGTCTCCTCCAGTCGACCCTTTGATCATTAGCCCCGAGCAAGAAACGAAACCCCTGCCGGCAGCAGCAATCGAGTCGCCAAAGAGGCGGCGCGGCAGACCTCGTCTCACAGAGCCCAAGACACGAGCGGCAGACGCGCCAGCGACGACCACATCATCGACGGGAGCGAAGGTGCAGAAGAAGTCCGCAGCCGCGCGACGCGCTTCGACGGCATCCGTGAGCGGCGCCGACGATGCCAAGGCTCCAAAAACCACCGAAGACAAGAAGAACCGCATCCGCGCCCGCAACAGAGAGGCGGCGTACAAGTGCCGGCAAAAGAAGCAGAAGGGGATCGAAGAGCTGCAGTCGCAGGAGGTGGTTGCGGAAAATGTGAACAAGAGCTTGCACGCGGAGGCTTCGATGCTGCGCAGCGAGATCTTGATGCTGAAGAACATGGTGCTTCAGCACGGCGGATGTGGATGCTCTTTTATCGAAGAATACATCTCGGGCGCTGCGCAGAACTTGGTCTCGTCGAGTATGGCGGCGAATGCGACAACAGCGAATGCAGGAGCCGCGATGAACAACACAGCACCCGGAGGCGATTCATCAATGGACTGGGAGATGTTCGATACCGATGAGCGCAAATCTGAAATATCAGCACTGGGTTCCGACGATGGCTTCTCGATACTCGACGATGCCTCCATCGCCCTTGGCGGGAGAGCTCAATCGCAGGAGTTCATGATGGCTTAGGAGGACGAATGGACGAGAGGAAGTTTCGACTTGCGCCAGCTCACCTCACTGGCTTGGCAGGTTCTCATTGGTTTCTTGAGGACAGAAAGAAGTAAAGTCCGCAAGGCCGGCAAGAAAAGTTTGCTACCAAAATCACATCTGTAGCTAGGGCGTTTGGAATTGCGACATTCAGCGTGGGCGTCTTGGAGAGGATTGTTTCTACACAGGACCAGGGCCTCATGGCTTAGCACTGGGATATGAGATAATGAGATTAATGACTTAAATTCTGCGTTTTTCAAATTGTTGTGCTCAATTGGCAAATGATCAGTTGATGTTACTGGACCCAAATCTTCGGCGGTGCTTGAAGCCGCCGCGCCGGACGACAGACCATCAAGATCCGATCGACTCAACTTCGACAACGGTGAACGACGGACAAGCGGCGCGGGCGCTAGGGATACACTCGACGAACATGGTGTATCCCGAGACCGCATCCATCTCTGTCAGCCAAGTGCAGACGCGCTACGCGAATCATTCGAGAGTTTCCGATGGCAGGTCGCCGCGGGGAGTGGGATAACGAATACTGCCTCATCTCTCGCGCGGCACTTGGGGCGCGCGGGGCGCGCGGAGGCATAAGATAAACCCGACGGGTTTCTGTTTCGGATAGGTTCCCATCGCGAACACCATTTCGCAATAGCCCTATGAAGATGCACGTGCTGAGTCGTCGTTCACGAAGGGACCATTCGATCGTGTCAGTTGCACTGGAGTGCCTTAAAGGACTTGAAACCTCGAGTAGCTCCGATGCCCGAGCAGATAACACCGAAGGCTCGCTCATACCATGAGCTGCTGAGTTCAAAATCGAGAACTTTTCTGACTAGGCATGATGTACTGGCTGGTCTCGAGTATTTCTAAGCATACTATTTGATCAGCACTGGTTGTGCAACCCACTAGGAAGTAGGTCCAATGAGGTCTTCTTTGCCGCCACATGAGCAAAATAGACTCAAATGGTTCTTTTCTCATACAGCCATGTTCTTTCCTGTTCGTTCGGACTGTGGAATCATAGTCCGATGTCCAGCCGGCTGTTAAACGGGATGCGAGCTTTTCTGAGTCGACGGGTCGGCATCGTCGTTCTTTGGGCCCGGCATTTGCGCGCTTTTCAGATGGCCCAGGCGATCAGACGAAGCCGTGAACATGCGGAACAGGCACGACTCGCGATCCAATTACGTGCTTTTCACTTGGCTTCAAGGTGTTGCCAGTGGGATGCATCCAATGAGTGGGCGTCCGAGTCCGTGTTCCAACTCATCCAAGCGCTCGGCCTTCTGATGTGTGCCTTCAGACGTGCGCGAAGTCAAACCCCGGCTACTCCTTGGGCCATCAGTTAGGTAATGGGTGCAGAACCAACAGGTTTTTAAGTGTTGGAGATGGAGGCAGCCATCAAGATTACGAGTTGGTGTGATAACACGATGTACACTGACTACATGACTCCGCCAAGAGCTTGCTAAGCATGTCAACGCAGATCATCTCATAATCACACATGCTGTCGTTAACATTACGGCCACCGGTCGTCACAGTCGCATACAGCAGGGTCCATCTCCACATTTCACCTGCAGCATCTCAGCATGTGTTCGACAAAATGGTGGTTCCATCCTACATCTAGACCCCGCCTCGAGGGTCTTTGAATTCGCCACCATGGCGTCCCCTGCACCAACAATCCCACGTTTTGAGTGGGTACGGAGTAGCACATCATTCTGCAAGGACCTTTCCATGTCAGTTCCCCGAGTAGTAGGAGGAGTAGGGTTTCTTTAAGCTTTTTGGAAACTCGCAAGTGCCGCGCCACGAAACTATGACAGCTGGATATGGACTCGTAAGGTGAGACGCGGGCTACCGCTCAGCGGCAAAGTTCACGAAACTGTCATTGGTCGCTTTATCGTTTGCTCTAGTACGATAGAAGTATGCTGCCGTTAGTGGAACTTCTATCCGCTCTAGTCGGTATACGGTGGTATCGTTGAGGGAGCGCATCCATCCTCACATGTTCGGTGAATCGTCTCATCTATGATCTGACTGTGCCATGTGCCTTTCCATCTTCTTGGGGCCGCTGAGCGGCTTCGATTTGCTACGAGACTAAGACCAAGAACCGCGTTGCACCTAGGCATTTCTGAACAGTTGGCTCGTCCGATTCCGTGTAAGAGACTTGCTGAATTTTGATAAGCGCTCTGTAATACATCCCTATCCTAAGTAAGACACATGGCATCGTATACTGCATATTTCCGGACGTTGATCATTCCCGTATTCTCCGTGCAATCCGAGCTTCTCGGAAGGTACATCCCAGTACCCCGAAGAGTAACCTCTGGCGAGACAGCCCGGCAAACTGTGCCATACCTGGGGCCAAAAGCTTTGAAGGTTTTTACGTGCGTGCCAGAGGCAAGGAGTGGCCGAGGCGGACAGCTCCTCATCAGGCAACATCCTTTACCACGCGCAGTTTGTGTCCGCCCCGTGGAGCTCCGTCAGTTTCTCCCTTCCCAGTCGCTAAAGTCTAAGCTCGAGGCATCATGGACGGCTCTCAGAGGGAATAGACGCGCCTAGTGAACCCATCCTGTTCATGATTAAGGTGCAGCTGCAAGGTTTGGGTGTCCTATAAGCCTGTGATCAGCCGCTTTCTTCCTAGTTTTGCGATTCTCGATGCCACCCCATTCCGCTCCGCGTACGCCATGCGCCAGCTCGGCAGCCACGCAGTAGTTCCATCGGCGGCATCATGTCGACGCCAATACTACCAGTATACTTTGAGTTGAGCTGGTCGATTCTCAGCACCATTGGCGCTGCGAACGTGTTCTTCGGACTCCTCATCGTCGGGATCACGACCTTTTCTCAGATCACTGTGGTACCGATCATCTCATCGGCGGCGGGAGCCATCGCAAATGGTCTTTGCTACTACGCATACTATGACGAAGGGTACGGGTTGAAGAACAAGGCAGCCGCTTCAGCGTTCGGGGATCTCTTCTGGCTGGTTCGTCTTCGGAGAAACTGAACAGTGCCGGGGACCAGACTAACGACCGTGACAGATCCAGGAGGTCGGGCTATCGTTTTATAGCTACGTGCTCCTGCGCAGGATACTGAAAGATCGGGGATGGAGGATCTTCAACAGCCTGTTTTGGATCATTGTCGCCGCCCTCGTCGCGCTTCGGATCATGATCGCCACCTCGCGCGTCAAGTTTATTCTCCGAGGAAACACGAATCTGCAGAGCACGGTAAACAATCTTCACATCGCCTACTTCGTGCTCATCGCAGCGCTGGAATGCGTAAGCGCGTTCTTTCTACTGAAGACATTTGCCGAGGTCAAATCGACGTCGATCCGAGCGGCATTGAAAGGTGGTCTGTTCAAGTATCTCATGAGGAGTACGGAGGTCCGACTTGCAACGCTTGCTATCCTTGGAACGATGAGGGCCATCACGTACTCATTTCAGATGACGGCTCAGAGCGCAACGAATGCCGCGAGTCAATTGGATAGGTTTGCATACACGTTGGAGTGTCTATTTCCCGTCGTCATGTTGTAAGTCAAAAGCATCTCTACCATGCGTGAGACATATTCACTAATGAGAGGCAACCAGCATCGATGTGCTGGCATCCAAGTTGGTCTTCACAACTCAGGTGTACGATCCGACTTGTCCAAGCCGCCCGGTTTTCCGAGGGATCACCACGGGCAGGAAGCCGGAGGACTGGGATCCGGTGACGCAGCAGAGCGAGAGGGTAATAGAAGTCCGCGGCGGCAAGCGGACAAGTTCGCAGGTGAACATACTCAGCAGCAGTGGACATTCGAGATCCGACGTCGACCTTGAGCGAATAGAAACACCAAAACCGCTGGGAGGAATCAGCAAGACTGTCGAGATTAGTGTATGGCGCTCTGATCCGGTAAATCAGCAACGGCCGGTCCATGTCATGACATCGCCATGACAGAAGTCTAAGGTTTTAGGAGCAGTTCAATGATACCACGATTATATGAAGAATGCTTTTTTTTCTCTACATAGTCGCCGTGTATATCGAAGCATGATGCAGTGATCTGTAGTCCGGTGCGATACTACCAGCCAAGTGGTACGCGCTAGGAAGCGCCCGAAGGGCTCAATCAGACGGCATGTAGATCATTCGATTGGTGCTGGCATCTAGAAGAGGGTCCATTCAGCCAAAATTAGCGGGAGAAAGATCTGGCTTCTTCAGCTGAAGATGGCCAAAATCGAGTGAAGGGTGTTTGGAAACAGCGCCAGCTGTGCCAAGCGCTACAATTGTTTCACGAGGTCGAACGGGCCTGTGCCGGGGCAGAATAATACATCAGACTGAGCACCCTACCGGGGTTAGGAGGTTTCGCTAGGTTTAACAGCCGGTGGGCGTCAGCAGCCCGCATCCGACGGGCGTTCAAGCACTTGGCATCGTGTTGATGATTGAAAATGAACCCACTTTGGGGATCTCGTGCTGACATTGAAGGGTATCTTAAGATGCTAGTCATTACTCATTGCCTGAACCTCAGGGCGCATAGCTGAGCACGCTCATGTCTCTGACTGTGCCCTGCCTTTCATCATAATCCTCCATATCGTAGTATGACATACCGAACTGCTGACCTCCGAACATCTCCATGCCCGGTTGAATCGTGGGTGGCCCCGATGTAGCATAGCGGTCAATCCCAAACGCCGGGTCACAGGCTTTCTGGGGCCCTTGCGACTCTGCGGAGGGGACCTGGGACAAGAAGTCAAAGTTGAAATCCGGGATCGCAGGGTCACCGCCGAAAATCTCCAACGGGTCTGGCATCTCCGGGGTCGTGCCGGCAGTTGTCATTGTCGACGGCGACGTATCCGTCGCGGTGAACGAGACGAAGTCAGAATTCGAAATGTAGCCGGCGCTCGGTGACGGCCCTTCGGTGTCTCTCTCTTGAGTCTCGATCTGCTGGTAGCTCTTGAACAACGTGAGCTGCAGGTTGCGCGCGATCTCAATGACCTTTTGCTTCATCCCTTCCTCGACGAAGCTTAGCTGCTGCTCGACTTCTTTTTCGAGCTGTCGGCGGACCTGGGTGGGGAGTTCGCGACGGAGGTAGTCCTCGTATCCGCCGAGGTTCGTCTGGGCGTCCTCTATGTTGTAGTCTGAAGATCGTTAGCTGTTGTGTCCCGTTAGACAAGCGTGAGATACTTGACTTACATGGGGATGGAATCTCTCGCTCTCTGACGTCTGGAAAGAGAATGCTGTAGACCTGTGTCCACTTTTCGGCTTCAGTGAGCTCTTTACTGCTAGTCTTCTTCCGTGACCGAAGCTTCTTTTCTTGGTCTTGGGTGATGCCGTCCAACACCTCCGGTTCCTTGACTTCGCATGGAGTCAGCAAGCGAGCATGGGCTTGGAGGTCTGCTTGTGTCTCAAATGGTTGAGAGCAGCGCGGGCATGAGAATTTGGGAAGCGAGTGTTTGCGGTATATGTGCTCCCTATGTCGTGTATTAGCATCCTGTCTGCCATCTTTGATGAGAAATACTTACTTGATGCGGTGAACGTGATCCCACCCCGGACCACAGCAAGGACGCTGGTTCTTGTACTTGCGCGGGTTGTGCTTGAAAAACGGACAAGCCAGCTTCGCACCGCTGACTTGTTCTTCCTGAACCTTGGGAAGCTTGGCGCGAGGCGGACCATTCCCGTCTCTGTCCCCGTCATTTCCTTCTTCGTCTTCGTTTCCGTTATCCTTGCCATCCAATCTGCTGCGCTTTGATGCCAACGATCTCTTCTTGCGGCCCGGCTTCACTGGTAACTTGTTGTTCCCGGAACTCTGAATGCTTCCGACCGCGCGTGGTCTGGTGCGTGCCACGGCATGCTCGTGCGCGGGCAGAGAGCCGCTGTCATCGGACGCTGATCTTCGTGCCACCACCTCATTGTCTCTGGCTATCTGATCCGATAAGGCAGCGTCCAGAAGTAACCTGTCGTCGGTCGCTGCTGAGCGCCGGTAGCTTGCCGATGCTCCCAGTGCGGCTCTGACAGAAGGTTCTCGGGTCGACGATTCACTCGGTCGCGACGAAGCTGCAGATCTGCTCACCGAGCCTTGCGGCGATGCTGAGCCTCTAGGCTCGAACCTTTGACGTAACTGCTCACGTTCCCGCTCATGTCGCCGCTCACGCCTCCGCTCATCCTCTTCGGCGTCAGCCGTCAAGCCGACACCAGGGACCCATGAACTTGAGCTTCTGTGGCGTCTATACCGACGTTCTAAGGCCGCGTTTGCCTTGGCCTTAGGTAGAACCTCTTCAACTGCCTCGTACCTTGTTGGAACAGCAGGCACGGGGGCTGACCCCCCTACAAATGGCGGGCTTCCACGGGGTTCAGAGTCGAGGTTTAATACCCCCGGCGGGTATGCCATGAGCTCCTCCACGGCCTCAGCCCCCCGGCTAGTTGCCAATTCGGATGCAGCCCCTGCTCCTGACGTGACCTCCTCATCGTCCTCGTCCTCGTCCTCGTTTTCCTCTTCCGCTTTTTCGAGACCTGATCCTCTCTTCTCTTCCTCACTGTCTTCTACACTCTTCTTCTTCTTGCTTCTCTTCAACAAATTTGAGAACGAGGAAGACTTCGCCTTGGGAGCGGGTCGTGGAGGAGCCGACGCCAGCATTGGCATCGTGCTGTGCCGCTCATCTTCAGCAGATTCCTCCGACAAAGAAAGGGCTCTCAGTGCAGACTGCGTATCCACTGGTCTTGACGAACGTCGGAGTCTCCTGGGCTCGTCCCGGGATGAAGCTGAGTACGATGTTGTAGTCGACGAGGTACCGACCAAGGACTGGACAAGAGACTCCTTGGGGGTATCTCTGTCACTTCTTAGGCCTTCTCTGGTCGCTCTGAGCTCTCCCAGCTTCGTTCTTTTCCTCTCGATGTCTTCTGCTCTTTCTCCTTTCTTCGAAAGCTCCAGACTTTCACTGCTGCTTTGCTTCTCATGTATGATGATGGCGTCCTCCGCCGGTGTGTAACTTTCTGCCGCCTTGTCCGTGCCTGAAGTTTGACCGGAGCCAAAGGCACCAGTCAAGGGTTTTAATGGAGCGAAACCCGTTGGGACTGGCATTGGAGCTGTGAATCGAGGACTTAGGGTTGAGTTCAGGCCCTCGGTCATGGGTTGAGGTGCCCCCAGTAAAGGAAGACTCGACAGATCTTCCTTCTCCTCCTCTCCTTTCACCTTCAGCTTGACATCAAGCCAGTCCATGAACGAGGTCATGACACTGTCGACCATCATTTGCTGTACAGTCTCTGAAGGGTCCTCATTTCCATCAGGGTCTTCATCGTGAGTACTGGATGAGCCCTCTTCATTGGAAGAATCTTCGTTTTTGACGGCTGCCTCACTCGGTGTGCTGGCATTAGATGCTTGACGTGTGGCCATAGTTTCGCTGTCGGAAGAGTGAGGAACAGTATCCTCAAAGCGCGGTCTTCGATTTTGCTCTTCGAGTTTTGTCTTCGGACTTGCGGCCGACTCGGATTGGCCAACTTGTGGATGCTGTGGTTCAACGCTCGCGAATTCCGGGTCGAAAACGGAGAGGTCCGGGCCAGCATTCCCACCTTCCGAACTGATGTCTGTCGCATCGGGAGACGCATTGCGATTGCTTCTGCTGCTGCCTTTCGATTCCTGAGCCTTGCCCTTTTCTGGTGGCGGGGGGCTCATGATTGTCGTCGTGTGCCTGGGCCGGAGTCAATGGCGGGGTAAGCAGACAAAAGTGGCGCCAACTATGATGGCTGTGAGCCCAGTGTGAGCATCTAGTATCAGAAACCAAATGATGCTATGCTGCGATTCGCGACAGATTGTTAACAGCTGGGGTGCAGATGTGAGTGAAAGTGAGGGTGATAATGTCAGGGGCAAGCGGCTTATGAGTGAGGATTGAGCGGCGCGAGTTTTACGCCGCTGCGCAAAACTCGGGGGCGCATTGCGGCTGAGGGACCCACTTGGCCGAGTACGGGGTCTCCACTTAATTTCCACGCCGTTGCCCGGCCGTGCGGTGCAGTTCGTTGGTCCGAAGGGATGGCACCGGTCCGTCTTGGTGAGATTGATTGCGCCGTTTCGCAAAACAGGTGGACATGAGGTTTCTGACTTATTGTAGGAGTGCAACGTATGTTTCAATGCCCGGGGCCAGTATAATTAGATCGCTTCAAGGCCCTTGTGAGACTTCACGGCTCATCCCAAACCACTCGTTCACCATCATGGCCAGCAACACAAGCACTGCCTCATCGACATCCACTCTTGAAGGCTACAGGTAGGTAGCTTCTCTCTCGCTTCATGATCTCACGAACTCTAAACTAACAGTAGCAAGCGGCCGAGCTCTCAGCGACGCAGAGCATTCCATCAGAACAAACATGTTCCTGGACGAATCAGATGATGGAAGCCTCAGAGTGTTCAAGATGTCTTGTCCAATAGTGCTGGACGAAGCTCCAACGCCCAATTCGGAAGCATATCCTCGTTTAACGCAGTACCTGGACAAATGGGAAGAAAGATGGAGAGGCGCAACATCTCAATAGTGAAATAGAGGAAAATGCGAGGTTTTGATGGCGAATACGCGGATGTTTTCCACGTCTCGCAAGAAACAGAAAGCTTCCCCGGGGCGGTCGAATGGGGAGATTTTACAGAGGGACTGGTGGGGTTCAACCTTGACGTTAGCGGGTCGTTGTGGAGGACATGTCCCCAAAGGGCGCCATATTGACAGCAAGTTATGGGGCAGTTTAAGTCTGGGGACGCTGAAGGGCGTCCCCTCTAAGGCGTCTTTGACACCCTGCGGCGCTAACAGGAAACGCCTTTTAAGCTGGGAGCAGCCACCGACCACGCGACGGCTGAGAACAGAAGGAACGAACGGGATGTAATGCTCTTTCCTCGACACACAGCGCAGTTGCTACTTTTCGATCGCACTTTCCAATGATGAAATTTATTAGACAAAACCGGAAGAATTTGATCCGATTCCAGTCATTCGAATGGACGCCTGAGAAGCACCTCAATCTTGGAAGAAACAACACCTCACCGACTTCGGCCTCCCACATCATCGCGTCACAACACCAAATCGCTATCGGCGGAATCTCATCCGTCATTTCGGCCTTGACAGCCGATATCTTCAACACGCCCGACACGCCAGACACTGCCCCCGCGATCCAGCAGACGAGCGGCATCGGTAACCGCAGCTATCTCGACCTCTTGGCCCGCACCTTCGACGAGGAGGAAGCACTGGATCCGGCTAGACCCTACAACAAGCTCCCCCAAACGCTTCGTCAACAAGTCCTCGACAGCAGATATCGATTGAACCGGCCCAACCAGCAGCGGCGACAACCCCCGAAGATACCCTGTGACCTGCTCTTCTGGGTGGCCTGGCGTTATCTTCTCGCCAATGACCCAAGACGAAACCCCAAGCACCCCAAGACCTCCCCGCGCCATCTCATTCGACAGAGCCCTTGTCTCCCAAGATTGATTGCCATTTAGCCTATCCGGCCACTGCTTCAGGAGTGGGAGATGGCTGAGCTGGCAGTGCTCCAGGAGAGATAAGACACCACCACCGCTTGGCTGTCTTGGCCCTTCCTCCGCGGTACATAAGAACACCAAGCCACCACATCAGCCCCCACGAAGACGCCAACCGCTTCTCTCATCGCCCTGGAATGTTTCTTCCAGGCGCAACCGATAGCATCTTCTGCAATCCAGCAGGAGACATTCACAACATCACAAAGACGGGGCCAACTAGCATATGGTAGGTGAAAACACTCGTGGTATCTTGATTTGCTAAGAAATGACTAGACGGGAACGTGTATGTTCCGGCAGGCACCCCTCTAGTGGATGGTGGGCGGTCCTGCATTACAATGTACATGGAATGGCAAGTTGCCTTGGCCCCGGACACTGAACTAGTGCAACCCGGGAGCCCTTCTTTTTCTCGTTCAAACAATTATTCTCCCGTTTACCAAACGTGGTTGATGGCACGTCTCCACGCGGGCATCGCAGCAATCTTGGCACGGTACGCGTGGATCTCGTCCCAGTCAAGCTCACGACGGCCAGTGTCGACGTCCATCTGGGAGGTGCGAAGCCAACCAGTACGCTTCCAGGCGAAGCCACCGATCCAGAAAAGGATCACAACAGGGAGAGCAAGGTATGACTTGAAGAAGCCTTCAGCACCGTTGAGCTCGCTTGTGCCAGGAGGGGCGATGGCAGTGTAAAACTAGTCTCGGAGTTAGCATCTTGCTTCTGTCTCAGAATGACGAATACAAAGCTTACCTGAGCAGCAAGAACGATGAAGCAGAGGAAGAGACCCAGCCAGGAGCCAGCGGTACCGCCAATGGCCTTGAAAGGAATCTCATCTACAGTGTGACCGTGGTACGCCCAGGCCTTGCGGAAGCGGATGTGAGCCAGACAAATGGAGCCCCAGGTGAAGACGGCGGCAAGACCAGAGAGCGCCAACAACCAATCGAACACGACGGGACCGGAAGCGTTGAGGTTGACGTAGGCCAGGGGGCCGAAGATGAGGATGGCAAAGACAGACGGCAGGGGGCGGCCAGACTTGTCAATGAAAGTGAAGATCTTGGGGGCGTAGCCCTGCTGAGCCAAGGCAGTGAGAGTACGCGATCCACCGTACACACCGGACACACCAATCGACAGAACCGAGACGAGAATGACAACGTTCATGAAGTGGTCGAAGCCCTTAAGACCGGCGTACTTGCCGACGAGCACGAAAGGAGAGGCCTTGACATCAGAGTACGAGGACTCAGACAGCAGGGAAGGGTCGTCGGAGGGGATCAACAGACCAACGAAGAAGAGACCGAGGATGTAGAAGAGGGTGATACGCCAGAAGACCTGCTTAATAGCACCAGGAAGCGACTTGACGGGGTTCTTCGCCTCGGCGGCGGCGAGACCGACCAATTCAGTTCCAGAAAAGGAGAAGGCGGCGGTAACGAAGACGGAGCAGAAGCCCTTGAAGCCGTTGCGGAACGCGCCAGGGTCATACCACAGCTTCGCGCCCTGGTAGGTGTTGTAGCGGCCGCTGCTGGGACCTCCTCCGAGGACAAGGACAAAGCAGATGATCATGAAGATGATGGTGGCGGCCAGCTTGATACACGACGACCAGAACTCCTCCTCAGCGTACCCGATAGAGCCGAAGATGTTGATGACGATGATGGCGACGAGGAAGACGGTGATCCAGACAGCGACGCTAGTTTCGCTATCCCAGTATCCGATGACGAGACCGCAGACTGTCAATTCGAGAGGAAGAACGGCGGCCCATTGGAAGACGTAGTTCCAGCCCATGGCGAAACCCCAGGACGGGTCGATGAATCGAGTCGAGTACGTGTAGAAACCACCAGAGACAGGGTACATAACAGCAAGCTCACCAAGAGCATACACTGTTGCGGCGCGTTAGTTTTTGATGGGCGCAATGCGAAAGGGGGGTTTTTCAACTTACCGACGTTGAACATCATGATACCAATCAGCAAGAAATCGATAAATAGGGCACCAGGACCCTGGGAAATCCGTTAGCGAAGAAACGAATGCGTCTATGGCGGCAATTACTCACGCCCTTGCTCAGAGCGCCACCGGAACCGACGAAGAAACCAGCACCGATGGAACCACCGATGGCGATCATGTGCAGGTGACGAGTGCTCATGGCACGGTCGAGCTCGACGACTCCGCGGCCATATTCCTTCTTCTTGAAAGACTCGACGTTCAGGCCGTTACGGGTGGCCCAGCTCTCCTCGTGGATGTCGCCGCGAATAGCGTTTCCGCTGCCGCTGTCGTATCCGGGAAGGCTGCCAGAGGCCTTCTCATCGGCCTCGAGCACCTTGGTGGGGGTGACCCCGTCTGAAGACATGATGATGATGTGTCGACGAGCCTTGTATCACTCAAGACTTGTGAGGGGTGAACAGACGCAGTTGTCTGTTGCAAAAACAAAGATTACGGGAGTGAGACCCGAGTGGGATGAGAAAAGGAAGGAGAGGGATACCGCACGATCTCAGGGAAGATGGGACGGGGGAGGCCAGGTCCTTTTGAAGGAAAAGAGAACAAGACAAGCACCGGCGCACAACGACTAAGGGTTCTTGTCAAGGGCGACAAGCGGATCAGTCATGCATGGAAGGCCGCTAGGTTGTAGTCCGTTGACGATGGAAAATTACACATGGGAGAGAAGAGGCGAGGGTCTGGGGCTGGTCTTCTGATGAGGCCTGTGTCTTGCTGGGTCTGCCCCCTCTCTCTTTCGACGGACGAGAGACGCAGATCTTGGCGTGGACGGGCATATGGCAGGCCATCCTAGACAACGACCCCGTTGCTTGTCGCATAGTATTGTGTGGGATGGGGGCGATTTGGCTTTCGGACGTGCTCAGGATACGTACCCCGGGCTGCGGGAACCAGCGAAAGCTACACCGGGTGTCGAATCTAGAGCTGAGGTGGGTTAGGCGGACAACTATCCGAGGTGCATGGCGCGCTAACGAGGTATCCAGGCGCGGGTACGAAGCTCTTTTCGGCTGCCAAAGGAGGTACCAGAAGCCCTGCCTACGCGACAGCCACAGTCAAAGTCGCAGCAGATGGGGGGTTATCGAGACGACGAGACGGACAGACAGACGCACGCCTCCGGGTGACAGGACGGGGAACATGAACGAGGGACTCGGGAGAATGAGGGCCATGCAACTGGATTGGCAATCTGCTCTCCAGACTCT